AGATTAGTCATTGTACTATTGCATATAAACAAAAGAGCCTACTCGAATGCAGATGGAAAAAAAAAGCAGCTAAAAAACAGCTAAAACTTACACTAGAAAATATGTATTAATTTGCATTTATGTTTTTAGCCACTTAAATGCATTAACTTAAACCCAAGGAGTCTGCTGCATTCATTTTAATTTACCAGTTAAAAGAGACTTCACCCTTTTTGTCCTTTTTGGAACATTCTGTTTCATTGCAGACAGTTCTAGTTGACCTTTAGAGTCAGGGCAATTCTTCAGGATCTTTAAAAGTTACAACTGAATAGTACATCACTTTAACTGTACAGATGTTACATCTGACAGATTGTCCCTGGCCTGCAGGGACCTTTTTTATCCATAGGTTTGCCTGCAACAGGTGCCTAGAAAGGGACCATGAAAACTTTTTTCTTGCATGCAAATTTCAAAGATCTTACAATTTTATGATCAATCAACCTGGTAAACATAGAGCAACAAGTACTTGTCTCTTACCATTTTTGAGGAAGACATAGATTTTTTTTCTTACAATGGATATTAATTATGAAATAAGAACTTGGCCACCAGCTTTGCTGCTCAGAAATTATCATTCCAGATCATGTTGCTATTTTGGAAACCAACCAAACTAGTTAAAAATCCGCAAATCTACTCTCTACGATCGCCATTATTAATCAGAATATAGAAGGAATGTTGATGAGGTGCTTTCTTATGCTTATCTCCTGGTCTACTTTTTTTTTTTTTTTTCCTCTCCATGAAATGAAAAATAAAACATCTGAAATGGCCTTTGGAGAGGATTCTTCTCTCTGCTGACTGCTGAGTAGGGAGGGACTAGATGAACAGTATGGACTAGACTGCTCAGCTTACTCAAAGACGAGGCTGAGTGGGATGGTTTATTAAGTGATTAAGGAAACAGACTAATTCAATGATGGATAAACCCATGAAAACGGTTGACGCACACTGAAAATGTAGATTGAGAAATGTAGTTTGTGGTACCAAGGGTAAAGAAAGAGAACATGTAAATACCTGGGAGGGGTAGAAATAGAGGCTGGATACAGAATGACAGCTCTAGTATCATGTTGAATATCACTGCCAAGCCAGGCAAAGAGGAACGTGTCCTTGCTTCCAGACTGCTTACTGGGAGGTATCATTATCTGTTATCAGTCCTCGCACAATCTACTCTACTTAGGGTATTAGGTAGAAGTCAGCATGAACAGTCATAGCGTTAGTGATAGGGGTGCAAGTAAAAGGGGCCATCAGCATCTTACAAACTGGGCATCTCACACCTGTTTGTTTCTTGCAACATCTTATTAAATCCAAAGCTTCACATTTCTGCGTTTCTCCTATTAGGATTTTTTAAAAGAATAATAAAAAAAGCCATCATATAAATGTAAACGGCTTTGTTTCCTGGAAGCCTCATTACCAGCACACCCCAAAAACTTAAGCCAACTGGAGCTGATTAAATTCACAGGGTACTAAAGAAAATGAGTTTATGGTTCTGGTTATATGTTGTGCTTTATGATATTCTTAATATCCTGAGGTGTCTGATATAACAGTAAATACAGGCACTGGCCAGAGGATGAGCTCAGGGTTATTTCATCTTATCGCTAGGGGAGGAGCTGTTGTTCAGCACGTCCCCTCATTTGGAGTGAGCCTCAAAGCTAACTCCAAATCTTGACTTGCTCCAAAGAAAGAGGCAATCGGGAAAGAGGGAGACATTTTACTATAACCAATGTAACATCTTACTATAACCAGTTCCTCAGTAGAGGCAGACTGCCATTTTATGCAAGTCATTTACCTGGACTAAGGTATAAATCTACAGGACTTTAAAGTGCCCTTCTTTCCAATACACTAGTATCTACAAAATGCCCTTTTAAACCAGTACCCACAGACAGTTGAAACCTGTGGTGTTAAGGATTTCACTTGCAAGAACAAAAGACCGCTTCAGTGTCCACAGAGATGATGGAATTCAGAGGCACAAAACAGAGATGATCATCAATATGCAAAAAGTAGTGGTATGTGCACACAGAAAAGTGGATGTAAATCCCTGAGTCTATGAACGTGCTCACCTCCCTCCTGCATAGCCGGCGGATCTTGCCCACCTGCACACCATGAGGCTCTGGCTCCTTAGTGAACAGCGTGCTCTGACCCTCCACCCAGACTTTATTTCATTGTCACACATTTATACAGCAGCATCATGTGACAGATGATAGACTGAGATCAAGACGAAGAAGAAAGATAACATCAGAGTTGTCCTGTTCATGCAGCTGCTGACCACCTTTCATTTTTCCCCAGAAATGCACCCTACAACACTGAAGCGTGAGCAGGAAGCACTACAGCGCTGCCCTGGCTGCAGCTCTCACTGCCTGCTGCATGACTAGATATTTCAGAATAAAAAAATAAAACAAGCATACTGCCCCAAAACCTTGGCAATCAGAGCAAATCCAAGCAACCATTTCAGTATACCTTCAGTTTTCTTTTTACTGGTAGGCCAACTTATTTTTCACTAGGCCCGTGCTCCCTCTTATTCACTTGAGAAAGTTGGCATGTTTTAATTTAATCCTAAAAACTTCATTACAGCTGTCTGGTTTTTGCAATATTTTAAGGGAAAGTGTAATTTACCTTTTCATTTTTAAACTATGTTTTGTTAAAAACCTTAGCCATGTTCAATGATAGTTAAAAAGTCAGATGAATAAAAAATTCAAATAAGCAAAACCAAAGACTCACAGGCAGATTAACCCACAGATAGTCGATTATTCTGAGGTATTGCTGTGGTATTTACATTCTTGTGCTAGCTCAGCAAGAGCTGCTACCTCTAGACTGCAATAATGTCCTGAGAAACACTAGCTCAGGCTCCAAAGAACTAACCAAACTGAACACAGTAGATTTAAAGTACAATCTACCTTTGGAGGTAATTTTCTCTCTTTCAATCCCTCCCTCTGTCCCTCTCCAATTTTCTACATATATGAATGAAACAGAAGCAAAGAGCAAAGACTACCATCTAGATTATGAACACAGAATTGAAATCTGAAGAATCAGAGTGCCTAATCCTAAGAATTTAATTACAGTTAATTATTAAGCAACTATTAAGTTCCTATTAAGACAGATCATGAGAGAATTATATTATGCCTTTTCAAAACTTGTCCAACTTTTCAAAAGGATATTGATACCACTCTGATGAATTCAGCAAACAGAGGAAATCACATTCAAGAAAGAAATACAAATAGGATTTTAAAGAAATACTTTGCCAAATGCATGGAGTTTACCTGATTATAGAGATTTCTCATTTGAATTATTTGGCAACAAGTAGTATTTCTTTGCTTTTTTTTATTTTTTCTTTCTTTCTTTTTTCTTTTCTTTTTTTTTTTTTTTTTAACAAACAAAACCAATGACATGAGTCAACAGGGATACTCCCACAGGAATCTAGGTTGATTTCTTTCGTTTTATAATAATAAAAAAAACATACATAATAATAATGAGAGTTAGGTCAATTATATGAGCTTCATAGTCTACTGGAAAAGTTCAATTAAAAAAACATATGGGCAGAAAAGGAAATACCATTACCAAAACACTTCTTTCTTCTGCTTACTCTTGAATTTATCTGAATAAGTTTAAAACAGCTTCGCAACTAAACCTTACTGCATTTTTTTCAAATCTTACAGTGTTTTTTCCAACTTAACAATGAATATTTGTGTTCTACTGCCAAGCACACCAGTACCCTCAGAAATACTTGAGAGAAATTCCCAGGTTTTGCAGTTTCTCAGCAAATCATAAAATCATATTCTCTTCCATGCTTTTTTCCTTTGGCTCCAAACACTATCCAAGAATTTTATGCTTCTACTATCAGGATATTTGACTAATTTCTATTAAGCAACTAATTCCTGCTATATGGGTATTGGATGGTATATTTTGAGATATTTCTACTGCAGTGTGCCAATTACAACAATTGACAATCAGCCACTACATTTTAAAAAATGTGTATTTTTAATGACTCGCTCACCATCACCCACATATGTATGTGCATCATGACATACAGCTTTCAACCATCTGTACCTCTTCCTTTATACACACACTTTGTATTATAAATTGTTTGACTATGAAGTATTTTGACACTTGACAACAGCAGGGCTGGGGGGAAAGCATAAGTACTGACCATTAGATTATAGCTGAAGTATTCTCTCCTTTTCTGTCCACCTCCTTGAGTTCCCTCGAGACCCAGGTGTTAATAAAATCAAACAAAATGAAAATGGGTAAATTATTGCAAGCTATGAACACCTACATTGTGCTATGCCTCACTAGTTTCCAATACCACCTCATTCTTGAGACAACCAAAGAAAAAGATGCAATTTCATTCCATAGACTGGATAGGATAAGGAAAGGACAAAAGAGACAAGATATTGCAATCCAAAGGTCAGTGACCCACTCCCTTGTATAATTACAGCATTTCATTTCTATCCTACCAATCTGTCTTTGGATGGCTGACGGTAAATTAGTAGCTAAAAACCGGCAATTTCTAAAATTCTTCAATAACTAGTAACTGAGCTTTAAAGCTGAACCATCAGATAATGAATGCAAATGTTGTTTTGTTATTTATTTTCTAACAATAATAGACCTACAATAAGACTGTCTGCTGTACTTCAGGAATCCTGAAAATAGATTTAATCCTCATCTTGAACAACACACAAGTTTTGAGGAATTTCAGAGATCTGTAACTGTACTTGAATACAAAATAAATCCAATCTTCTGCACTAGAGACTCTGTATAACTTATTTAAAAGTATTGCATTTAAAAAGACATTTTAAATGCTTTTGTTCAGTATTCCTAGTCTCACATAAAACAAATACCAGATTGTGTCCTTCCTTTTCTTTCGCTCAAGAAAATGTTACGCAGTAACAAAAAACGTGTGGCAATATTACTGCTGCCTTTTTTGCTAGTATATTTTAATAGTGTGTACCTGTATGTAGTCTTTGGTTTGTTCCTTCTCCAGGTGCAACGGTAAAGTCTGGTCTAGGAGACTATGCAGACTCTTTAGGCTTCTTCCAGGATAAAGCTCAGTCTAGGTGACTATATAGACTCTTCATGGTGAGATCTGGGAGGGAGGGAAAGTCACCACAGTAAGATGACAGCTCTACTCGTGGTGTATCATGTATAGCACTCAACAACTAAAATATGTGGCTCACCATTATTAATGGAGGTCAACATTTTAATTGCCTGCTAGTTATTGCTATCATAAAGGTGTCATATGAATCTTTAGATTATGATCTAGTGAGCAATTTGCCAAGTCTGATAGGAGGGAAAAAAAAAAAAAAAAATCAAAGAAAGGATTTTAACAAGATCAGTAGATCTGGTTAAAGAGCCAGTCCATAGTCATCTGATACACTGTGCAATGCCACTGATTTACCAGTCTCACATGCTCTAGTTCAACCTTTCAAATTTTGATGCAAGACAGTACACTGTATGTGCTATACAATTTTGCAGGAAACAAAGGGAGAAATAACTCTAAGGAAAGAGTGAGCTAATAGAACAAATCAAGTACTACTTGTTAAGAATACTGGAAATGTAACCGTTAAGTCTAGATATTTTAGAAAGCTCCAACCTTCACAACTGCTGGCAGCCAATCATGGGTCACACGGTAAGTTACAGCTTAGAAAAATTATGATACTCTTCTGCTTACAAAGTTGTCCATCTACAGAGAGTTCACCAGACCAGAGCAATCAAAATTTATGTTGAGGACATAAGTGAAGGAAGGGAGCCCATACCAAATGGGTAATAGATTACCATGTGAAGATGCCAGTTGGGCTGAACAAATTCCACCTAAGACACGAATATGGCAGGCACATGGAAGTTAAAAAGTGAAGATAGAACAACAGTATATATGTAGATAGAACAACAGTATATATGTATGTGCCTACACATATAGGCACAACAAGGAATACTCTGTTCTGTGCTTTTTTTCCCACATATAGGCTATAAGAAGTCAGTACTAAGCATGTTTACCACAATATTGATGCCACCACTAACATAGCGGGGGTTTTGACTGCTTCAGTCACAGGCATCCGAATTGTATCTGTTTTCAGGCTAACCAAAGGAACAGCGGCTGGCCCCCTTTCTTTAACTTGTTCGGTGGTGACACCAACATTTGTTACAGGTCTTAAGAGTGCATGTGTTCCATATTTCTGGATTTATATATTGCATGGATTTGACTGCAATAAAGAGTGGACAGAAAAAGAGGACTCTGGAAAGAGCATGTCAACTGCATTTTCAGGTTGGAAAAAAAGGTGGTTTTGATCGACAGAATGTGAAGTGTATGAAGTACAACAATTAAACAGAAGAGTAGATACTTTGAGCTCATTAAAATTTCTTTTGAAGATGAAAGTCATTAGATTTCAATGAGAACTTGGAGCGGGAGCTCACATTGACATAAAAATATTTAACCTGTATTCTACAGTGCTTCAAGCAATGGATAGTATGATAAATAATTGCCTGGCTCTAGTAACCACATAGAAGAAAAAAAAAGGATTACTCTAATCAAATACAGTCAACGTGGCATTGCCTGTTTCTGCGCTCCACATTTCATTCTGAGTTGTTCAGAAGTTTGCAGTTACAAAAAAGGAAATCCGGAGTTCTTAAAGAGGAAATTGTAAAGGATTTCTTTTCCTGTCACCTCCAAGAAAACTTTGATAATATTCAGGGTCAGTTTTTCAGCTGGCATGAGCTGCGCTAAAGCCAGTGGATCATTGCCAGTTTGTAACAGCTGAATGTCTGGTCTTACTTCATGGACTGTACTATTTTACTGTTTTTTCTTCTCCATGCCTCAGTTCCCTTTATATTTTTAAATACTGCCATTAATATCTAAGTAAAGTGTTTGTTGTCAGGAATACATGCTCTCCTCCTTTTCAGGATACAGGACTCACCTTTTTGATGTTCTAAGTTGCACTTAAGATTAATTGTTACTTATAATCCAGTATCACCCCAAGGCAGCAGCAGGTACTGCATAGGTAATACACAGGTATTTTTTTCAGTTATATGTTACACAAAAGCTCATCACCCTCAGTGCTCAGTGCTGAAAAAAAGCAAATGTTAACACACACCTGGACAAAGGCATAAACTCTCCTAAAAGGGCAGAGAGCCTGAGTCAGACTGCAGTACCCGCTGTGTGCAGGACTTTCTGGTTAGCTCACTAGGAGCCTGAAGGCAGAGACAAGGGGAGACGTGTCCAGTAAGGGGAGCATGACCTCCATGCAGTAAGTCACTGGCAAACCCAGGATCACTTTTATTAATTCACTGGATATACAGGCCCCATGCAATCGAGGCTGATATCACAGTGTGTCCTTCCTTGCAAAAGGAGGGGTATTTAATATGCAGAGACTTCGGGAAAAACAAAAACAACAGGAAAAGCATTTCCTATTCCTCTGTTCACACACACCTAAATGCTCAAATTGCAAATATTCAGTGTCACATGTGCTCTACCAAGCCCTCTTCGCACCCTAGTCATCATGGCTTCTATGTAAAATATAGCAGAATAAGCTGATTTTTATTTAGCATATAGGTACTTTCTGCAGGATAAAAATCCAGACAAAAATCTACATACTCTAAGTGCCTGGGGGCACTTTCATTTCAAAGTGCCTGGGGGACTTTCATTTCATTAGGAACCAGCACTAAGGCGTAAGTTGCTCCAGCCCAGCCCAGCCTCTCACTCACAGCCAGCCTGTAGCAACTCTGGGCATCCTTCCACACAGCAAACACTCCTCGTGCTGCACCGGCTCTGAAAACCTTTCCTTGTGTCCAGGCTCCAAAATGGTACCTTCTAGAAGCCAATCACCACCTGTTCTCCTTCACAGCCTTTCCTCATTAGCTTAACGAGGGGGCACAGCTCGTTGGGGGCTCAGCTCCTGCCTTTCTTGCCCAGTGCCAGGGGAATCAGATTCATCACAGGTGTGTAAATATAAAACATATATACGGAAACAAGATATATATATATATATCTAGGAAGGTAAAATATAAGCATTTTATCTGTATATACTGGAAACTGTCAATTTTTCGTTTCTCCCCTTTCAAGAAAATGCTCAAGGGGAAGCAACTGATTTTGAGAAGCCTTTTGATTTTTACAATAATCTTCTTCGCTTTCCCTGACTAACGGATTTTAGACAATACATTTCTGACTGACTTGAATTGATTAACAGGCTTTTATAGGGGGACAAGATAGCCACGAAGCCTGATAGTAACTGAAACTGTTTTATATATGGCAATGATTTCATTCTGACTAGAGAAAAACACCAAGCGTGTGATGTTAAGCCAGTATCTACTCATCTCTTCAAAACAGATAAAGAAAAAAAAAATATCCACAAAGAAAATATATAAACAGAATCTCAGCAAATATTTGCAAGGTTTTTTTGTTTGTTTTGTTTTTAAATATACTTAGTGGGATGAAACCTTTGGAAAAGAAGGTAAAAAGAATCCTTGAGAAGTACTCAGAAGAGCTGACATCCCAGCAATTTGCTCACTCAGCTGCTAATGGAAGAACCCCAATCAGGTTCTTGCTCTGGTTAAACATGCCAAAATGTTGAACCTGTATCACTTACATTTAGAACACCTTGACCACCCAGAAATTCAATTTTGGACACTTATGTCTCAATGTTCCTTACTTGAGCTTGTTCATAAAGTGTAATGAAAATATCTTCTGAACTTTGCTTTTACACAAGCCATTTGCAAAGGCAGGTTTATCAAAAGTTAGGAATGAAGGATGAGTGCCTGTGAAACACCACAGAAGCATATTCTGTTCACCAGCGCTGAGTGCCAAAACTCCTACGACTTCATGAAAAAAAATCCATACCTGATTAAATACCTCATATTACAACCTGATATGCAGTTACTGTAGGGTAATTATGCTCCTGTTGCAGATGAGATCCTTCACTGCCATTTTTGCTGGAAATTTCTTTTACCAAAACTGAGATAGGGCTTCATCTCACTGAAAAATGGTGGTCTGCTCCACTTTGAGTGACTATTACACAGCAATGGAAAGTTCTTTTATTGTGTAGCACTGCTGAAAAAAACATGGTGCACAAGATTTTATGCAGCAATTCGTGTGACTCTGTTCTCTAGTAAGACTAGTAAATACAAGGCCATGGTGGTGGGTCACTACCATAGAGCTATGTCCCAGTCACTTGCAAAAGTTGCAGGTGTACGGAGTCCTCTGCATTTGCAAAAGTCATTGAATAAAATCAGAAAAAAAGGATTTCATTAAGTCATTAAGAGCTTCCCAGAATTCTGCAGAAAACTGACTTCTGCTGTAATGCAGAATTTGAAACTACTATTGATACATTTAATAATACTAGTACTTTAAACAATTTTCTGAATATAAGATAAAAAAATACAGTCCAAATACTTGAAAGCAAGAAAGAACAAAAAGATAAAAAGCCCAAGAGCACCAAGATAAACTTACATTCAAATAAATCCTTCTTAGTACATCTCTGAGCAACCATTATTCTAAACACAATACACTTTAGATCACTACTGCAATAGAAAGATATCCCTTGGCGAGTTCATTACTGTATACTCCCATAATCAGACTATCTAGGACTAAATCTGAACGCAGAAATCAGATGCTCCATAGCATTTGATGTCTAAAAAATCCTTTGCTCTTGTAGTATTCATCATCCTATTATGTTAAATTTAGCTGGTCAAATTCTACTCTTATTCAAACTTCACATCTGTCAGCAGAGAGTGCACAAGGCATACATCAAGGCACCATTTAAGCTCAGCACAGGGAGAGATTTGATATTTGAAATACATTTTATCTTTTGCAAGCCATACGTTCTTCCAATAATAAATGTTGAAACAAGGTTCCCCAGGGTCAGGCAATTTGTGTTCTTTCCTACTCAGCCAAAGATGATACTAGGTAGCTAAAATAAAGAGAAATATTGTCATTTGGTTATAGCAGTGTAATGTGGTTGATATTATTTCTTCTGACGCTTTGGACACTTTGTTTAACAAGGAATTCAACATGGGCAGACTAGCTGCTGAGTACTTCCAGGCTGAGAGCTTGTGACAAGACTGGATTGTCAGCTCAAAGGCTGTGTCACCAACCTGATAAACGCGTACCCTGTAGAGAGGGACAGAGAGAACCAATGCCTGGTGAATGCTAGACTCTTAGCAGCTGATAAAACAGCAGCACTGCAGGCAGCTGCTGGCCTTATATGGCAGACAACAGCTGCAGACATCAAAAAAAAAAAAAAAAAAAAAAAAAAAAAAAAAAAAAAAAAAAAAAAAAAAAAAAAAGGGGAAAAGGAAGAACTGAGAGGAAAAAAGTAATTTAATCTGTACTGTTTTTATGAAGTAGATAAACTACTTATTTAACAATATAAACATATTCTAATGTTATCAGTTTGCCTTAAAAAAAAACATGAAAAAAACCCTGCAAGCCTATTCCTGCAGCATTAATACCCCAAGCATTAGAAGGGCCAGAGGGTAAATCCCATTAAAAATAACGGATTCTATTGAAACAGATGCTCAAAAAAACCCAACCAAACAACAACAACAAAAAACCCACTGAGGTTAAAATTTAGATTTACCTCAAGTAAGCAGAAAATCTGGCAGCAAGTGAAAACACTGTATGTAGTACTTACCCGTTCAGTACAATGTGCTAAATCTCTGCAGTCTTCATGGAAACAGAAGTCACAGAGGCTTAAGAATGTCCAAGATGAAAGAAGTCATCTAATAAGGTCATTTCTTCTTTGACTCTCTACAGAGGTAAAGCAAAATAGAATATGTAGGGGGAAAATATGCCTATAACATACACTTGGTTCTGGAGTGGTGCAAATACTGAAGTTTCTTTTGGCTTTATAGCAAAGAGTACAAATTACTAACAATATAGTAACTGCTTTAATCAGCTAAGATAATGAAGATGTAATGTCTGTGGGGTATCAAATAAGAGTAATGTTGAAATTCAGTTTCAAGTGGTCAATAAATGAGTAAGCAATAAAGAAATGATGAGTACTCTTCACACAACTTCAAATATACACATGAAAAGGCCCAGGTCTTTTGAACTATGTACATATATATTTACTCATAAAAAAATCATTTATTCAATTGAAACATTTTAAAACATTAATTTCAAAATTTGCTGCAGTTCCTCAAAAATTTCAGTACTGAAGAAAGCAGATAGGAGTAACAGTTAGCTGCATTTCAACTTTTTAATCCCATTGTCTATAGATAAAAATATTTAGCAAGAAAACAGAATTTGGTGAAGCATTTCACTGTCATAGATGTTTATTACTGAAAGCTTTTTTATTTTTAAAAGTACTGAAAACGGGGTTAGGTTTCCTTTAGACTTAATTTACTCCACCAAACTGTCCCCATAACTACTTGTTCATTTAAATCAGGTGCACTTGCGCACCTGAAATTGATTTGTAGTTTGGTTTTTAAATATATATATACACACACACACATATATATATATATTATTCAAAGATATTGTCCCTATCATCAGGTAAAGCAACTAAATAGGTCCTTGAGCAAGTAATATCCTATGTACAAGTTTAGGGATATTATTTAGGGATATTATATTTCAGTCTTCTGAAGCTGCTCAACAGCATGAGTCTTGGTGTGTCCAAAGCTATCACTTGAAACATTGAGATTTGAATTTTAAGGGCTTTTGAAGCACAGGTGAAACTAATAGGGCAATTTTAGCAGCTGTAATACTGGAGCATGCGTGTGTACAGCATTATATACAACATCAGACTGATAGTTGACAATTGCCAGAAAATGTCAGATGGTTTATACAATGACTTGTTTCTCAGCTTGAGCCTCACAAATATCTCAACCAAAAATCCTAGATCTATTTTTTCCACATAGTATTTTTGCGTTTGTAACTGTTTCCAATTTGTCATAGTAGCACTTTCCATTCAACCATCTAATACACTCTAGTATACATAATATTTTATGAGAGCCTCTGCAGAACAACTACCTTAGGCTTTGGGACTTCACAATGGTTTTGATTTATTGAAAGATAAACCTTCTCCTATGCTTTTTCTTTTTAAATAATAAACTGGAAATAACCAATCCAATACAAAAAAATGCTAAATAACTCCTTTGAAATTCTAATGGAGGCTGGTTGCACTTACAATATCATTCACTTCAGATTTTTTGTGTTGATTTTTTACTTGCATATGTTGAATATATACAAATATATTTCTATACTGGACTGCTGAAACACAGAAACTTGGGTTTGGTGTAGCTAGCGTGTTAAAGTTGGATTTAGAAGCATGATATAAGATTCTTTTATAATATTCCAGTCTTCACATTTTCTCTTGACTATTAAATTAGACATGATTTCTCATCTGTTTTCTCATTTCTCTCCAGGCTCCATCTCTAGTTCATTCTATTGCTGACCAATGTTTGCTCCATTGGGCTTTTTCCTTTAGGATCAGGGCCTGTAGCAGAGTTTCCCAAAACACTTTTCCAGGCTTGCTCTTCCTCAGAACCCTGCCTATCTTTGCTATCACCAGCCACCATTTTCTGAATGCAGTTAAGTGCTTATCACTTAAAACTTTAAGTGCTAATTGCTTAGTAATGAAAACTTTAATTGCTGGGAGATTAAACCTTTAATTGCTAAGTGGCTGGCAGAGTTCCAGTCCATAACAGCCAAGATTCACTAATATAACATTTTTCTAAATGCCCTTTCTATGGAAACTACCCAATATCCAGCATGTGCAGGCCCAGACAGTTGCTAAAATGATTGAGAAAAAAATGCATCAGAATTATCAGGAGAGCTTACGAAAGCAATGGCTAATTTAGGAATAATATTTTAATGATAATTTTAGAATGTCTAGATTATCAAAAACAATTCCTCCTTTTAATTTAATGTGCATGTGTTCTCAAATAAAACCCCTCTATAAAAATTTTTTCCTCTATAAAAATTTTCTAAAGAAATATACTCAGGTTCATCCTGACCTAGTTTTAAGGATGGAGACTCTGTTGTGTTCTCACTGATAGATCTACTAATCACTGCCAGAATTATTGTGTAGTTTAAAGAACATTTCTCACCTTCTAGAACAGTTTTGCCATCTTGATTTTCATAATTTCTGAGGAAATACTGCCAGAAATCAAGCAGATGATCCCCTGTAGACCATATATTCTGCTCTTTTATTGCAAGTGCTGATGGAGCTAAGTAGAGGTTATACTTGCACTGAATTCTGAACAGGGGGAGACAGGCAAACCAAACTGTAAATTGTACTGGAATGAATTCTTCAGTCTGCTGGCCAGTTTCTAGAATTAGTGGAAGAGACATCATGAAAATAAGTAAAAGAGAACATTAATGTGCCTTCTCTAACATCTTTATTTTCAGTTTGTGTTCAAAATACCCACCATCTTATAGATCTCTCTCACGCCACTTTGTGAGGGGCCTGAACCATGTTCCCAAACACAGGAGGACAGGATGGTGTCTCTGGCTTTTACCTTGAGAGCCACAGTATGAGAAGCTTCTGGCACTCTGATATTGTGTCAGTTTTTAATGCAAACTCTGGAAGTTCACGGACTCGACGCACTACATTCTGAAGAAGATAAATCACAGTTACTTCAAGCCAGCTGACAGCAGTTTAAGCAGCTACAATCATCAACCACCAAGGGAGTTTCTTCTTTTATCTTACTAAATGCAGAAGTATACCAGGAACTGGTAATATCACTGGACTATCAGGAGTCCCTGCTTTTACATAAATATCAGCAAGCGGTAAGTAAATTCTGTTGACGAAATGTAATAAAACAAAGACGGTTTCAAATATGACCATTCCCTGATGCATTCTGTAGCCCCGTCTTACTCACTTATTGCATGCTGCTGAGATTATAAGGTTTGCTTTTATCTGTCAGAAATCAATATTTCAAACATCGGATAAAAGAGGAAATTGAACTGGGAATAGGCTGAAGTGCTGTAAAAACTACAAAGCACAATTATCAAAAAGCACTTAAAGTACTTAATAGGACACACATATAAAAATGCTCAAATTAATGTCAGGGAACTATAATGAGAACTTTTTCTATGCTTTTTGATCCAAATGCAATGTAATTCGAGTGCAGCCTGGTCAGTCAATACAGTTTTCAATTTATATGAAACCCTAAGGATTTCAAGCAATCCATTTGCTAGAACTGAACCATTACATATGATTGGTTAATATTTCAGTTTATTGAAAATACATTATTTTGTGTAAGGTGTTTAAGCTGTTGAGGTTCAACCATTATAAACAGTTATGATAAAAATAGATCTTTGGGTAAACAAAGACTTTACAGTCAAGCTTTTAATAAATGCTACTATAACCAGAAAATTGGATTTTAAGAGGAGTAGACATCATAAGGAGAAACTGGGGTGGTGAGATCAGAGGGAAATGTAGTATATAACTGATGTTTATCAGCATGCATTAAGCTATGCAGGGACATCTTTGTAAAATGTTGGAAGTAATGGTTATTTTATGCAAAAAAAGTTCACTATTAACTTCAATACTTTCCCCTTAGATCTATATTTTCATTTATCATCTTTAATTCTATTGAGCTGAAGCTCTTCACAAAATATCTATGCCAGATCAGAGATCACTGCAGCATATGCACATACTAGTATTTATGGAAAATCTATTGTGTGCCCTTATATATTTTAGTACAAAAAATGAAGAACTGCAATATACACAGGAGTTACAGTTGGGATTTGAGCAACAAAGGCCTATAGTAAGTAAACAGCTATATTACACTTTTCTAACCTATACCACATATTTTAATATGGAACAACAAGAGTTTCTTGAGAAATGTTTCTTTGTGAAGTTATTCTTAGGCTTCATTTCTATACTTTAACCATAATTCTTTTTTTATGAGGAAATTTTAGTCCAAACACTATTAAAATTAACTTCTTATTTGAACTATATGTAACTCTTATTAACTACTGTGCTTTGGATCAGATTCCAATTGCCATTAACAGGCAAAACGTTCTGTCCTACCCAATATCTTTCCACTACTTCCTCATCACAGTTCTCGGTCTGATCCAATGCAGCCTCTTGCTTGTTTGACTACTTTTTATTTTTAGCTTCTTTTATCCAGGCTAAGTTCAAGCTTGTTTTCTTTTCTTCCTTTTCTAAGATGCAATTTTTAATTTCAATCCTTAAAATCCCACTTTGGGACATAATCTACTGCCTTAAATTCATCATCTTCAACCTCTACAGTTCTTCGTATGTCTAACTTTTCCTGCTTTTCTTATCAGCTTTTGTTTTTCATCTGCCGTTTTCCTCTGCAAACAATGCCAACCCATCACGCCATTTCATTTCTTTCCTATATGCCATCTCTCTCTTTTGCTCATACTTATTTTGTGTTAGCCTTCATAAATTGGTCTGTGAGATTGCTGCTTTTCAATATTTCGCAGCTTTCCCCAAGCTTGCTTTTATTCTAATGCCATCAAGAAATTCCATAAACTACAAGGATTAAGTGCATATGCAAATGAAAATGTAATAACATTTCACACAAAATATTATTTGTCTTTTGTAAAGCAAAATTTTAAACATAACCAACATAACCAACCTCAAAAATATCCTTGTAGACATGTAAAGATAATCTATATGCATTCACAGAAAAGAAACTGAATACAGAGCCAGAAACGTTTCCATAAGTACTTGTATATCATATGAGATGCTGTATGTGGTCTGCTGTCTGCCAATGTGGCCTTTATAGTTTCACACAGTGTTACAATTACATAAACCAGGTAACTGCTGGCTACCCATGAAGCTGGATAAAGCAAAAATTAGATGGGCCAAAAGCTGTTATCCAAACTCTGGTTGATAATATGGAAGTTTAATTGGGATAAGAGAAAAAGAAATGCTGGGAATTGAAATAAATGTGTCTGTATTGTCCCAGACAGCTGTCTCCAAAGACAGAGACTTCACAACATCCCAGGTAACATGCATTGTTGTATTACTATGGTGTCTTCAGTTTTTCAGATTTTCTGATTCAAGGTGTATAATCTTTTCCAAATAGTAAATATTTCCAAATAACAAAGTAATAAAGTAATATTTTGTTTAAAAACAGTCCGAGTGGAAACTATAATATGATCTGGTAAGGCAATTGTAGTTATGGCAGTTGTAAGGAATTGCATAATGTATTTCACAGAACCTTCCTCTTTTGGACTTTATTGTATTTTTCCTTCAATTATTAAATGTAGAAGCTTAACCTCTAAAGCAAATGCACTCGTCTTTACATGCACTTGAATTGTTACTGCCATTTAAAACTAATCAATGTTTTCTTTAGTACCATAATATCTTGTTTGCAAAGCACCTCTTTTAGAAATATTTGCACTGTATTCAGGAGGAAAATACGTTTCACATTCTAAGAAAAGCCTCCACATAAAAGAAAGAGGGCTCAATTCTTTTCTCAAAGTTTAGTTTAACTAAATTAACTACAAAAGCTAAAAAAAAAAGTGCATGAAGGGAGTTACTAGTAGGAAATACATCTGTGCTTATATCTATTACACAGAGAAATAACGTGCTGTACACCATGCTTATAGCCCTAGAGAAGTCAAGAAAATAAATCAGAAAGAGTTCAAACATGTAAGTATTAGGCTCTAGAATATATTATGTATATAACTATTCTATCCCTGTTTACTTTCATTAATGGTTACAAGGGAAAAATGTTTAAATATTATGATATTATTAATATTCAATAGATATTAATTATATTAATATATGAATATTACCCATATTTAAATATACATTCCTTGGAAATATTACATTATTTCTGACTTAGATGTTCAACTGCATAAAACTCTTAGGACAATAAGGAACCAATCAGAGGTGAAAAGTCCAAGCTGCTCCAGTAAAGTCAAAATATGCCCTCAGGGGCAGTTTGACAGAGACAGCAATGTCTGCATCACTTTGCTCTAGGAGGAAAACTCTAGTGGAGGTTTCTAAAGGAGTCTCCCAAGAAAAGACCTCAGAAAGTAGTTAGAAAACAAAGTTAAGCAATGCAAGCACCCCTCAAGACTCAAGTTCTGCAGTTGTGCAATAAGAAAAAGTCTTAATGAAGAAAAAATGAAATTGCATAAAACTCACATATAGGTTTTCTTCATTTCCAAATATAAATATCTATTGCTTCAATAAACAGATAACTCCAGTTCCAGCTATGTGTGTACTTATTGACACAGAAATCCATTGTTTCCAGTAAGGTGGCAAGTGAAGAAGTCATAAAAACTAGTTAATAAAAATTATCATAATTGAGCATTTGTAAATAATATTAATAATAATAAAAAAAAGCTGTTAAAGTGCTTAAATTTATGTTAAATGTTAAAATGTTAAAATTGATTTATGATTCAATTCCTGTGAGGGACATGGGCTTCTGCAGAATATTGGTGGTTCTGTCTCATGCCACACATTCTGCTGAAACTTCCAAATCCTTTACCCCTGCCTTGAGCTCTGCACTGCTTTCAGTTGAAGGTTGGTAATATTAAGGGTGGCAACAGGTGAGTTATTTTCCACTTTTAGACAAAATAGAGTGCAGAGTAGATCTTCAAAACTTTGTAGACTTGTAAATATGTGTTCAAATCATGCAAGGAGCTGAATGTTTTTGAAACTCTGATTGCTACAAAAACAATGACCAAATTGACAAATTTGAAAGTAAGGATGGAGACTTTAAACCTCAAGGACAAGAATTCACCTGATCAGACAGAAGTGCTCACCTCTGAAAATTATGGCTTTCAAAAATACAAGCATCTCAAAACGAGCTAAGAAACAGACATAAAGGAATTAAACACTCCCCAAAAAGGAAGCTGAAAAGTTTCAAGGAATAATACAAGTGGATTGAGGAATATAGAGTGCAAATCCTCACAAAAAAAAGAAAAAAAAAAAAAAAGTAGAATTATAACCCAAAGCATTGGACACAGTGACTTTCCACAACACAATGAGATACTCTGCCAAAGCATTTGCCACCAATTTATTTGCTGCTGCACACTGAGGAAACTGAAGTCTTGCTCCTTTGCTAAATTACATGTTTCAGAATTAATCATATAGCCTGCAGCAGATAGCAGATGCTTTATAGGGCAACTTAGAGCTGACAGTCACCTATTACTGCTCATTATTTAATAGCACTGCTTTAACTCTCCTGTGATTGCCTTCACTGTTGGGTAGTCTTTCTTACAGGTTTATGTTTTCACAGTTCTTTTCCAGGGCTTTCTGATGAGATTCACACCTGCTTCCAAACTATAATATTGACTTCAGTTGTCTGGTGTATAACAAGCAGCTTGAAACTTCCTGTATGGTTTATTCTAGATGAACGTAAACTATAAGCATCGATTTTTTTTCTCTTATTATCTAATGATCATAAGATCACAGCTAACAAAATACATTTATGTTTTTGGTATTATTTGCTGTTTCCTACTAGATCCATATAGAGAACAGTCTAAATAGAATGATGGGACTTTAAAAAAAATCTAACCTCTCCCTCATACTGTCAGAAAACGCATTTTGTATTATTTCTTTCTAAAAACAAAGCTAAAACAAAGCCTCATGAAATTAGAATTTACTTATTTTTCTTC